GGTACTGAGCTTATGTTGACATACTGAAGTTGGAATTCCTGGCATGTCTGCCGAAGTCCATGCAAATACATCATTGTTAGCTCGGAGAAAAGCTATCAGTTCTGCTCTCTCCTCCGGGTTCAGTCTAGTTCCGATCTGTGTCTTTCGGCTCGGATCTCTGTCATCAACGAGCACTTCTTCAACATCTTCGACCGGAGTAGCTCTGGTTTCATCATCTGGTCGATTATCTACAATCTCAACACCCATAACCTGCTGATTATCGGGAATTCGCTGGGGAGTAACCTCGGGTACCTTATTTTTGCCCTTTGTTGGTTGTGATACCGAGGTGATATAACAGTGCCTGGCCACCTCTTGATTTCCTCGCAATGTTGCGATTCCCATAGGAGTGGGGAATTTCATGCAGAGGTGGGACTGGGAAACCACAGCTCGGATTTCAGTCAGTGTGGGTCGGCCAATAACAACGTTGAAAGAGGAGGCCATTTTGACGACAAGGAACCGGACTGACGGGGTTACATAGGTCCTGCCACTCCCAAAAGCCACATGGAGGGTAAGAACTCCTTCTACCGGAACAGGCTGATTGTTGAAACCGTAGATAGGACCATCATACTTCTGCAACAACGCTGGATCTAATCCCAGACTCTCGAAACAGTGGAAGTACATGATGTCTGGTGCACTCCCGGTGTCAACAAGGACACGCTGTACTTCACAGTTGTTGATCATGATAGAAGTGACCAGAGGATCATTGTGGGGTGTAACAACTGTGTCGAGGTCAGCAGATGTGAAAGTAATGGGTTGATTCTTCCATTCAGCATCGTCAATCTTTCGCTTCTGAGCTCGGTTTTGGTGTTTAACCTCTCTAACATACAGCTTTTGCTGTTTAGAGCTCAGTCCACCTGCTTCGAGGCCTCCCGTAATCATATGTATGATTCTAGCCGGTGGTGGGAGCGGTGGTGGGGCTTGCTGATATCCCACACCTTGTCTATTCGGGGGATTGCGGACTCCTTGAGGCTGCGGCCTCTGCTCTCTGACAAATCGCGGCTGTTCAACTCTCTGCACATACTCATTCAGCATTCCCTTCTGAGCTAAACTTTCCAGTTCAAACTTTAAGCTGTTGCACTGTTCTGTAGTATGGCCGTGATCTTGATGAAAATCACAATATTTAGTGTGGTCTCGACTAGCAGCAGCAGTTCGCATTGGGCCAGGACGTCTCAAGTCCATTTTGTTCTTAATCTACATGAAAATTTGTGACCTCGGCAGATTAAAGGGAGTCCAATTAACTGGAGGTTTACCTGCAGATTGCTGCGTGGGTGTTGAGTTCGTCCTTCCAAACCTCGGTGGGGAGGTCAACATCGGACCTCGGTTTTGTGCCATCTTCATCCTTTTCCGGCTCGGATTGTCATCCCTCCATTCTGGGTTCTGATTCTTAGAGGGGGTGGGTTTTGCGCCAAGGCATACTCCTCAACGGTTATAAACTTAAGAGACCGATCATTCACCTTGCTAAAGGTGGTGGCAGCATGTTTGATCAAACTGTCTCTAAACCTGTCATGCTTGAGACCAGCGATCACAGCGGCTATTCCCATAGCTTGATCAAAAGAACTAACCTCCAAAACTGCGTCATTAAATCTGCTCATATAGTTCTTCAGAGATTCTCCATCCCTCTGTTTAACCCTCATCAACTGAGAAGTAGTTTTCCTAATCAACCTTCTACTGGAAAACTTAGTGGCAAAGGCAGATGCCATTTCTGTATACGAGCTAATTGACCTCGGAGGTAAACTGTAATACCAA